TAGGGAAAGTATCTTGAGAAACCGAATTAACTGTCCAACAACCAATTGTTAACTAATGCCTGCCATTCTGAACGTGCCCACCACAGGTGTCATAACACTAGGAGAGTTTTGGTTTTGTTTGTTTGTTGTTTTGTGTTTGTTTTTTTTAAAAGCTTCTTCAGTAATGTTCAGCAGCTGCAAAGAGGAAAGCCAACACAATCTGATCAGTCCTTAAATTGACTGGTTTAAGGCCCAGTGTTTTAATGTTTATGGTATACCAAAATATTCACTAATTGTCAAATTAATAGCTCGTTACCATTACTCTCTTCAGAGAGAAAGTTACCAAAACATATGAAAAAGGAGTGTGGAAGTATTACATTTTCAATAAGTTATCAGTTGCTGCAAACAGAAAAAATGACCCTGAGCAAGCCTTTTTCTTACAGGTTTCAGAGGGTTTCATTGCTCTGTAATCTCACTTTAGATTGTACTACCTGAATGACTGTGGCAGATTTACTACTGGCTTCCTCCAGTTTTGTCTTTTGCAGATTTAAAAAAATAGTCCTGGCTAAGTATCTTCTCCAGTGCTTCTGGATGAAAACTGCTGCATTCACTTTCTTCAGGATGCGTTGACGAGACAAGAAGTTTATTGCAGATTTTTGAATTATCCGAGCAGCTCTGTCTCTTTCCTATAAAAAAATGAATTTGCACTGAAGAGTTAGGACTGGAATTTTCATTCAAATTTTTGGTGTATTAAAATAACTATGTCATAAAAATTAGGCTTGTTGATGAAAAATATGTACGTAACTATAACCTCTGCCCCCTTCCACATCAGAGGTTCTTAGAATATTTCACTTGAACACTGTGCCAACATCAAATAATAAGTACCTCAGACACAATGGAGGCATTTATCAACCTCAATGGTGTCATAGTTTGAAAATCATCACAAGATCTGGTATCACTACCAGAAAAACAAGAAACAAAAAATCAGAACTCACACAACTCAACTCAAAACACTGGTGCAGCTTAGCTCCTGAACAAAAATACTAAATTCATGCAGAAGTCTACTCTTTTCATCTTGTAGACATTATTAGGAATTAAAAATTAACTAGTCTCTTTTTGTTTTAAGGAAGCAGTGCAATATTTTATAGTTGAAATATTGGGAAAAAGGCTTAAAGGGTGACATGCTCTAATCAACACACAAAAGAAAGAACAGTAGCCTTTGAACAACTGTATTTCAGAATAGTCTTAAACAAAAGTGCTTTTTAGCAGATTACACCAAGGCAGCCATAGATTTTGATACTAAAAATGGTACTCATTAATTTAGATGCCAATATTATTCCAATAAACTTGTATACTCCAAACAGTGAATTTATATTCTCTATATAGTATTTCTCAAAGTCAAAAGAGAAAGAGTACCTGAGAAAGCTTCAGTTCTCTTTTCAGTCTATAATTCCTCCAAGCAGACTGAATTAATCGAGCAGCTCGAGTTTCTTGCCGAAGATCTAGAAGCCGCGAACACAGAAATGATACATAGGTAATGACAACCTATATAAAAACAAAACACAGCAAGTTAAGGGCTATACAGAAGAGCAGTACACATTCACAGGACAGCAGAACATGTTTACATCAACTCTGAAGACATCTTACCTTCTCATCAGGAATTGTATTTGACATGTCTGAGTGATGAATCATTGCTGGTATTCCACCTAGGTCAGAAACTGCAGCATTGATGAGCTGAAAGTTTTTCCTTTCATTGTCCAAGAGTTCCTTGTATAGGACTGAGGCAGTTACAGCTTTGCAAAGAGAAAATGTTTGTCAAACCAAATTGTGAATAAAACAAACAGATTTAACATGAATTTCTGTGCATCAAATAACTCACTTTGGTCAACCATTCCTTCCATAACATTTAGAGAAGTATCAGATTCTGAAGAGGACGAGGAGGAAGAGTTTAGTCCCACTGTATGAGTTCTTGAGCATTCTACTGTTTGAGTGGTACGCTGGCACACAGCTTCCAAAGGCACGTAACATGGATGATAATGATGAATCAAATGACATAGTACTCTACCATCTGAGAAACACACTGTGAAATTTTCCACCTGTTAAATAAAACACAGTAGGATACAAGTTCCTTGAATTTTTGTTACCAGTTAATTGGTATAAACTGGAAATAGAAATTTGTTATCTTGTACCTTTGAAAGTGACCAAGTGCAAATTTTTGAAGGAAAAAAAAAAAAGAAAATAGTGCTTCCTTTGAACATTCATTGTACATACAGTAGTACATACAGTACATACACTGTCACATACAGCTGTGAGAAACCAGCAACAAAGATGTGTGAATCACTATACAGTGAATCTTCAAGGGAAACGCTTAAGAAACCAAAAGGAAAGCAATCTTTCTATGGAAGGATCCCAAATAAACTTCTATAGATACCTTTAAACTAGGTATTCAGTGCAGAAATAAGCTTTGAACTTGCATCAGTCTGAAGTGCTCTATCTTGCCTTGAGAAAAAATACCAGGTGTGACTGTATTCTGACCAGAAACGAGTCTCTGAACAGGGCTTCTCTTCTTGGAAGGAACAAACATGTCCCTTCTAAACAAACATCTCTCTGAGGAGAGGGATCCCCTTTATCCCAAACGTTAGTTTAATTCTTACGTTTCCTATAAATGGTGAAAATTTTATGCAGAAATACTTTTAGGATGAATGCTCATTAAAAAAACCCTCCAATAACCCCATATTTCAGCAAAAATGTTATATTTTTAAAAGGTATTTTTATGCATAGGGCTGACTGGAAGGGGAGATTCCTTTGCTCAAATTTGTTTAAAAAGAGCTGCAGCTAAACCCACAGAAAGACGATTATTTCAAATCAGATTAAACAATGTCCAGAAGGATATTTAAAACTAATTACTATTGGCTGCTATTACATATTTGATAGTTTGAAGAATTCTGCTCTATAAAGAATAGGCATTCTTATGACAGCAAAGGAGGTATTTGCTGAAACATACACAAAACTCTTTACCTTGATATTGTAAAATTCACAAACAGCATTAACCCATGCCATCAGCAGCTTCACATTTTCACTGTAACATTGAGGTAAGGAGTTACTGCTGTTATCTTCTTGTGCTCTACAACCATGTGGAAAAGTCTTGAGAGCACCCCATTGCGTTTTTCTCTTGTGTGTATTCTTTAAAAACTCAATTTCTTCTTTTAACTGTTCCACATTAAGAAAAACATCCACCTATTAGGAAGACAAAAAGATTTATGTCACCAGCAGTCTGACATGTCATGCATTATAGCTGCTGGATACAGAGGCTTTAGATATGGCATTTTAAAAAACTACTCTCACTACTTAGCAGTACCTGCCACACTGAATTAGTAGTGGATAATCTGGACTTGCCAGCATAGACAGCAGTGTCTACTACCAACTGCTTCAGATAAAAGAACCTAAACTCACACTGTTCTGTGTAAAACAGTTACTTCATTAGTTAATAGTTGGGGGGAAATGGAAATTCCCTGAAACAGCTTGTGTAATTTCACCACATTTTCAGAAGGAACAACAATTTCAGAGTCTTGCCTGCATTTCTACTGAGTCTATATGCCACTCCTCCTCATTTAAGGGATTCTGAGAGGACCTGTGCTACTGTTCTGATGCTGTGAAAAGATTTGGAGAACAAGTAGCATATCCACTGGGCTTGGATGAAGCCACTGCTCACTGAAATTATTTCTTTAATCAACAGCAATGCAACTGTTCCACATGCATCAGGAGAACTAACTGGAGGAAGGTAACTACTCAATACTGTAACAGTAGTTAAGAAAATAGGTACATTTGATTATTATATTCTTCTGACTCTCTGATAGTTCTGTGGCTTTAGTCTCTGAAATTCTTGCTTTAGATATAGTTAATTATACTTATATTCCTGACTACTTAGTGGTGAAATTCCACCTCAACTTGTATCTGATTTTACCTTTCATACTTTATGTTCTCTCCAACTGGATTTTTCAGCTGGATACTTATTTTCAAAAGACTATCTGACTCAAATTAACTCTTAAAACAGTCTTTAAAAAACCTATTTTTGTTTCCTCTACTAATTTTTTCCAGCGACTTTGAAATACCATTGCAGTAATGCCTAAGAAATCTTCATCCTTACTTCAAGAATGTTTCTTCAGATTGACAGTTTCAGACAAGTGAAAAAAAAGTAGAAGAGCTATAGCTTCATCCTATAATTGTCTATCAGTGTAACCTCAAAACATCCTTTTCAGTTAGTAAGAGCTTACCAGCATTTTGAGACCAACATTATTTTATTTTTAATCAACAATTCTGTTGGCATACAGCCTAAATTCAAAAGTTACATTTTTTCCAAAAACTTTTACAAATGTATGTAAGAAAAAGCGCCATTAAAATTTAAACTGTATTGTTAGGAAACAGTTAGCAGATTTAAGTAGTTTGCATGGCACTTTGAACGTACAACACATATCATTACACAAGTCTAAAATCTGATTAGTAGAGGCTTTCACAGACAACAAATATTCCTGGAAGACTGGTATTTTCACTATCGCTCATTTGTAAATAACAACGAAGTAACTGAACAGTACCTGGAAGGCAAAGACAATTTTCCACAGGAGTGCTAATGTTCGTTCTCTGTGTCTATCCACAATATCCCTGGAGTCAATTGAAGCACCTACCAAACAAAAGAAGGAATTAAAGCATGCACTCATCCTCTGATGCACTCAGAGTAACCCTGACTTACAGGCCTTACCACTTTCATCTTTCAAGTGAATTCCTCTCTCTTTAAGGACATTAAGAACAATGTCAACATTATGTATCTTCTGTAGACGACTTATTGCAGGAACTCTCAGTTGTTTTGAAAGATTCCAGTTTTTGGTGAGAAGTTCCATTGTTCTCCTAATGAAGGGAATTTCACAGTTTAATGCCTTAGCTGAGCCCATATTAAGTATTAGATAAAAAAAAATAGTTCAAAATAATTCTGTATCAACGCACACAAGACGAATGCCACATTGTAAGTCCACAGCCAGATTTGTTACAGCAAAATCAAATTCATCAAGTGGAGTCTGAACATGACAGACAGGTAGGCCTAAGAAACCAAGATGGCGGGAAAGGTCACCTTCACCACTCAGGAAGTCCCGAGAAAATGCAAGTAGAAGGTCTTTGCTAGCCTAAAAGAAGGAAAAAAAAAAAAAAAAAAAAGATAATCTTAACTCTGCAATAATTATCAAGCAGAATACAGTTTTCATCCCTTGTCCTTCAAATTCCATTCCATATTTCCTTGCCTAATACTTAAATTGTTTTGTTTTTTTTTTTTAATTTATTTTTAGCCAGTTCATGCAGCTTTAATTTTCAGCATACCTGGCTACCATGTCACTGAAAGCACCATCAAATTCAGGAATACTTTTTTTCTCAGTCTGTTTGTCTACGTAGTACAAACTCAACAAAAGTGATTTTATTTGAACATAACATATTTGTTAATCAAAGCCTTTGTATGACAGACGTTGCATAGTCTTTCTTATCACTGCAAAATAACAGAAGAAAAACCAAAACAGAAGCCCATCAAACTGACTTACATTTTAAGATCAGCTTGCAGTATGCTAGAGTGGTATTTAAAAATAATGCAGAAGCTTAGCTTTACAGAGGGAAGCTGGATAATGCAAGATAATGGAGTCCTTCCTAAAGGACCAACACCTCAAAATTTTCTTGGGAATCCTCTTACGTGATCATGACATGATGTGTTGAGAATATTCATGCAAAAGACTGAACAGTCAAGGCTTGTTACAGAAAATACATAGTCATATTTAATACTAAAAAAAAATTCTGCATTGAGTCTTAAGACAATATTGGAGGGAGACATCAGATCACAGCTCTCTTACCTTGAACTCTGCGTCCTTACAAAAGAGGCAAGGGTCGTGCTCAATCATTCTGGACCGTTTGGCACAGTCCAGAAAGCAAACTAACAACAGCAATTTTTTCAGCGTGAATTTTGACAAAGCTTCTTCATGACCTACAAAGATTGAACCCATTAAGTGATAGTTCAAGAATGAAGTGCTGAAAACAACCTATTTTTAGAAGTTGTAGTTACCTTCTCGGTAAAGGTGAGGCACAGTGGGATGTCTGTATTCAGCCGCAATGTCAGGGTTCCAAAGCAAGCGATTGAGGATAAATATTGCTAAACCCATAACATCACTATTAGTCTCCAAAGCTATCAGTTCTCCATAAACAGTCTAATATGAAAGGAGGGGAAAAAAGCAGAGCCATTAGGAATTACCTTAAATATTATAAGGTATTTTTGAATAACATACGTTACTGAAATCCTGAAGTGGTAAGTGGTAATTAGTCTCTAAAAATCAATTGGTTTTTCGAATCAGTCACTGAAGGACAAAACCCAGGGAAATTTCAGAAGATCCAGTCTCATTTCAAAATACGTATGATCACCTGCATCTGAGGAATCAATCAGGAACTTCCTTAAGATAATCGCATTTTTCTCCAGTTTACTAAAGAGTGAAACTGATAAGAAATTGCAATTGTGTTATTGGCCAGGGAGTTAACTTCCACTTTCCTTGATTAAATATTTTCTTTTTCAATAAGGTAAGCACTTTTTTTAAAGCAAGTCTGTTGTAATAATTTAAGAGAGATGTAAACATGCTATAACTGAATTGAACCTACCCACATTAGTAAAACAGATGATACAAAGAAACTCGAAACATACCGTACTAAAACAAATTGCCAGATGTCCTTTAAACTTTGATTGTAGACCATAAATTCTGCACTTACCTCCAGACCTATACGCAGCCACAAAGGGTTGTAAGATAAAAGCCAGTTAAGAACTTTCTGCCTCTCTCCTGCAAGAGAACATCTTGTAAATATTACATCCAGCAAACAATTCATATTATAACAAAACTTACTATCAACTTTTAGATTAAATCAACTTACTGCATGCATAATCCTTTTTCTACTTATAAGCAATGAGAGGATGCAAAGTTTTTGTATTCTTACCTACATCTTTCCAGAGGTGTCTGTCTCTACGAACTAGCAAACGTCTAGTTTCAATCTCAACTTCCAGCTTCTTAATAGCTTTAACCATTGTTTCAGATGTAAACAAACGGCAAGCAGCTCGTCGTAACTTATTCAGCTTACGATGAGCTGTATAAGCTTTTAGAGATGCTTCATCTTTCGTTGGTGCTTTACGAACACTGGTTTTATGATGGTTCTCTTCTTCCAAGACAAGAGCAGCTGCATTTACTGTTTAAACACATACAAAAAGTATGCATTTACATCTCAAATAAAGGTAGTTTCTCCCACTTCATTTATTTTTTTCCTCTTTAAGTTCACATTTTGTTATTTTTCTTCTGACTAATGATTTTATCCCTCAGGAAGCTTATCAGCTGTTGTGCTAAACATATATTGTCAAGCACACATATACTGGTCCAATATTTAATAAAATACTTATTTCCTAAGTAAGCAGCGCTAGGAATTCAGTTTTAAGATCAATTGTACCATCTTCAATGTTTTAGAGTGAAACTAAAGATAGAAGAAAAAGTATATTAGCATTATTTTAGTAAAGTGACAACTATGTTTTCCAGCAGTTGGAGGGGGATTCCCCACTCAACACCCACTGAGGAGTGTTGCAGCCACACGGTCCAGTGTATATTTCTTGTTGCAGAGCACACTCCCAATTCAGGTGTGTGGTATGCTGTGCTTGGCATGAGCAAGCGTGCCATCCACACTTATCACAAGGGGAAAAATATGACTCTGAAAAGGGTTAGACGGTTATAAAATTCTGCTGGGATGGACAGCACTGTTTCAAACGTAAGAACTGCTTTTGATCTGTACTTTCTAGCATAACTGCCAATGAAGCACATTACCAGTGATTTGGTTTACAATTATCACCAGTATTCAGTCAAAGGCTGAAAAGGGAAACACAGCTGATACATGGAAATTAATACTCAAAAATCTACTCTTACCTGAGAGCTTAATGTTACACAAACTAGAATGACAAGTTGAGACTAGTGTTAAGCTAGTACTACTGTTCAATAATTATTAATAAAGTACCTTATATAATGATTAAGAACATTAAAAGACAAAGTGAAAATTCTTGTACTCTTACCTTGTGAGGTGTTTGCTTTTACACTGAAGTCATCAGGGGTAAGTACAAAATTCAACCACCAGGTGAAACCTCGTTGCTGCTTCTCCTTCCAATGTTCGTCATAAAACATGTTTTTAGCAGCAAAAGGCATTGGGTGTCTAGGGATGACTTAAAAGGAGAGAGAAAAAAAAAAAAGAAAAAGAAGTAAGTCTCTGCAGTTCTTGAAATGTTTGATAACCAATGTACATTTCATTGTGGAAAGGATTAACCTTTGACACTCCATTTAGCACTATAGCAGAAAAAAAGCAGATTGTTAGACTCTTCAGTGACTTGCAGATCAGCCACCATTAAATAAATTTCAGTTACAAAACATGGATTAAGTTATTAAAGAAGTTATTAGAACAAAGACAAGATTTCTAGAACTCAGGCCATTCGCAATGCACATCTTGGGGCAACACCAAGTTGAGTTAGATTATATCCAGGAACAACTGTTTCATAGATGCACTTTTCTGATCATATCAACTAAGTATTATTAGTTCTGCAAAATTAGTATCTTTTTGGTAAGAAGTTTTCTCTTCTTAGATATTCTGTTGTTGTATTAAAATGTTATCAGATATGGAAGAGACATTTCACTGATAACCATCAGTCAGCTGGGCACACACCTGTAACGTAGCTTTTACATTACAGGCAAAACTGGAGGAAAGCAACACGTAGCTTCAGCTGGCCATATGTTGCAACCAGTTTTCTTATGAGCAGTCAAAATGGAACATGAAAAGTTACATATATTTTTCTACTAGATATTGTAGGTACAATCTTCTATTTCATCTCAGCTCTAACCAGTTGAGTCTTACCAATCACTAGCAGAACAGCAATTGTGACATTCAGTTCAGTGTTCTACTAAATGTTGTTTTACTAGATAACAGAAAGCTGCCTACCTGTTTTCAGTGGTTTCACAAACGTCAGGTGAGACTGGGCCAATCCAGGGATGGGTTTACTAATTCTGTTGGTGGTTTTAGGTACTTTCTGAAGTGAAGAACCTACAAACATTAACACACAAATATCAACAAGTATGTCAATGAAAGTTAAAGGTTCATATCTCTTATAAAGCACAGAACTAGAGTAATTGTCCATGAACCTGTACAAAATACCAATAATTTCCTGTTGATGGAAAAAGTTAAGCAAACCAGTTTAACTATAATTAAAAGGGAAAAATAGTTAACAGTAAATAAGTGCTACTGTATTTCACAGCTCTTCCATACACTAGGGAAATGTACTGTTTGCAATTCATTATCACATGGCTAGAAACACTAAGCTAATTGGTAAAAACACTCATTAGAACAGGTGAAATTGTGTATTCTATAAACATTTGGGGTAAGAAGCATGACTTTTTAGGGCTTGACTCACCATAGGCTTATTTCAGAGCAGCCTGACGTGTTCATTTAGGCATCAACGCGCTAGCTAATAACATATAGCAGTAGAAGAACTTAATAAGAGGGAAAAATGCAGATCTAGTCTTTCTGAACTCTCAATATGTAAAAATACACTTTTAGCACAATCATTTTGTTACTTTGACATCAAATGAACGATTAAAAGATTATGCTGTTGCAGATGTACTATAGTTGCTGCCTGATATCCCCTGACAAGATAGAGATCATAAATTACAGGCTGCACTCTCCTGCTTAGCTAAAGTAGTGTTTTCATAGAACGTCCACTTCTAGAAGTCATTCCAATCAATAAATTTTAAATATACTCTGATAATGTTTAATAAAGTTGGATCTCAAATAGATTAAATTAATGATGGGCATTTCAAATTAACTTTTAGTAGTGAAATACCATCTTTCTTTGTGAAGTCTAGAGATAACGCCTGTGCAATTAAAAAATAACAGGTTATATTTCTCAAGAAAAATTGTCAAGAAGAATATAACTCAAAGATGTCATCATTTTTGTGTTTCATGACAAGGATTAGAGAGACACCAAAGTAATTTTGGGCTCAGAGAATACTTCCTTGTCCAGCCCATCTATCCTTACCCTAATAGATGAATAGAAATAACCAGGTAGATAATACAGCTTTTCCGGCTGCACATTTACACTGTTAGTGTGTTATGTTTTTATGCAGACTATCTTAAAAAGCCTGAAATCAAAGTGCGTTACTGAAAGCCCCAAATCAAATCTAGATGGCAGAACAGATCATTTGAACTGAAAAAAGCAGCATATGTTATTTTGATCTGAAAGCCACGATGAATTTCTCCTGTTATTTAATTTGCAGAATCTTCATGCAGCCCCTACAATTTAACTGCTTCTTTCAGTTACAGACTGTCTCCTTTTTGTATTTAGAAAACGCAAAACACATTGAAATACAAGAAGTCAACTTCTGATCTTCAAGCTACAAAGTACTGGCAAACTATAAAGGCAGAAAGATCTACACAAGGCTGACAACAAGCTAATTACACGGCAAAAACTAGGCAGAGTGAATGAGAGTTGGGAACTACATATTTGAAAACAAGTGACAATAGCAATGGAGTCAAATATTCACAATGGTAAGTGTACGTATAACAGAAATCTCGTGCAGTGAGCAAGTTTCTAGTGAATTTGAATTACCTAACAACGGCTCTGCTCAAGAACTGTCAGATACTTTTCCTGTTACTGTCATTAACAAGTTTACAAAGGACTAAAGTAAATTTGAAGTCAGTTACATAACCAAAACTCTGACCTAGATTTCAAATTTTTTAAAATCCAGATATCTAAAAAATTGCAAAGGCTCACATTTCAGAGATATGAAATATTCCTGACTGTTGCTAGATAGTTCGGTTTGCTATACAAATTTCATAATCAAAAGCATCATACAGAAAGTGATAAATGAAGGAAATACTGCTCACCAGCTTTTTTCCTCTGTCCTACTCTCTCTCGGTTTGTGGGTTTGAAGGCTGATGGTCTCCTAGTAGCATGAGTTTTATTCTCCACACTAGATGTAAGAGTTCTTTTTCTTTCCACTTCTTCCACACACACTGGAGCTGTAACTCTACTATTTTCTACATATATTGCACTTTTCCTCTTACGACACAAAGAAGTTGATCCAGTAGGAGATGAATTTACTTTGTCATTGTGACACTTACTTTTAGCTGAAACGGGACCTGTAACTGGAAAGTGTTTTGTTATTTCTGGTTTTGTATGTACAGGCACCACATTAGCACATTCCATTATTGCTTTACTAAGGCATTTTTTAGATTTTGGCTGGAGAGTTTCCATTCTTTTTTCTTCAGCAGTATCTGGCTTATTTTTTATGACAGTGGCAGAAAGAACTGGACGCTTCTTTGGTTGCTCTCTCTGAGAAGAATTGTGAGTTTGAACTTCCTCTGTAGAAGGAAAACTGAAGTGATTTGCTTTGGGTTTGTCATAATGAAGTACCTGTGACTCCACATTATGCATCTCAAAGACTTCATTTAATTTGTGTTCTATATGAACATGCGTTCTTGTCTCTACATCTCCATTTTTTTTCAATTTTGAGGGTAGGAATTTCTTTACAACGTAAGTCTCTGTAGTAGACGATATTAAAGCTGCCTCAAGTTTAGGAGTCATTGATTGCTTATCTGACAAGCTGTCTTTCACAAATTGATCAGGTGACAGAATTGAAATAGGCTGCTCTATTATATCTATATCCACTTGATAATTGTCATTTACAAAAGAATCTGGACTTAAAAATCTCCTTGTACTTAAAACAGGCACAGATGCTGAGTGCTCTGGAGTGCAAACTGGAGAGAGTGTATGATGAAGAATTATTTCATCGTTTGAAATTTGTAGTTGTGCTAATCCAGGAGAACTGTATGTACTTTCAGATTTTAATTCACTGTGCTCATTAACACATTTCTTGACATTATAGCTGTCTATTTCAGGCAATAACTTCTCATTTACAGCAGCAGCAATATCTGAGAATGTAGTAGATCTTCTCATTGCAAGTGGTGTGCAAACAGTATTACGAGGTTCCTCTAGCATTGGTGAAATAGGAGATATAGGCAATTTATTTTCTGAGCCAACAAGAGAGTCATTTCCTGGGGATATACTGTTTTGCATTGTGTTCTGATTTTCACATGGCTGAAGTGGGCTTCTAAGTCTATCCATCCTCTGGGAAACTTGAAAGGTTTTATTAACATTTTTAACTTCTGAAGTACTTTTTTTAACTTTTATTGAAGTAGATGTTTCTGAAGAGTTTTTCTTTTTGATAGTATCCCAAAGACTCTTCTGAAAAAGAACCATAAATAAAAGTTATTTCTAAATACTTTTATGTGTAAAAGTGAACATTACTAGTATATTCATTCCAAGTCTAAAAATACTATTAAAAGAACACCTAGTCCAAAATTCACCATAAGTTAATTCCAGGTTTAAAACCAGCTTTTTTCATCATGTTTTAGTTTTAATCTGTAAGCTGTAATGTATCAGTACGTACTTTCCAACACAGCTAAAAAAAAGCGTGAAGACAATGGGCATTTCCACAGACAGCATCATTTATCAATTTTTAATTCTCCTTCATTGAATTTTCTACTAACAATATCTGTGTCAGCTATGCCAAAGTAATAGAAGACACATAATAAACACACACTCACCTTTTTTTTCAGAGGCTTCTCAGCAACACCCAGGATCACAGCTTGATGCTTTACAATGCCATTAATAACAAAAGTTACCAGTTCTCTGACTTTTCCTTCTTCTAATGGTGTCCATGTTACAGAAACAAAGATTCTTTGTCCTGACTATTGGAGAAAAAGAAATGTTTAATATCTTGCACTTAGGTACACATATGTAACATCAAAGACAAAGTAATCAAATCAAATGAGAAGCAGTATAAATGTTTAAACATCAATTTTTCCCTGACATGTAAACTTAAGCAGCCTCTGTTAATAATGTTGCCTTATTAAAAGGGATATAGCTCTTATTGAGGCTATAATGGAAAGCAAGCAAGAACACAGATAAACATAACACACAGTAGAAAGGACAAGATTTGAGTAAAGTTAAGTAGAAGAAATCACATAAATTTTTGCACATATTAACCAGGTAAGTCCTCTAAAGTAATTTAAAAAGAATTATAGTTGGACTAATAATCAGAGGTTAATTTTTAGGACCTTAGTTGAATCTAAATACAAGTGTCAATTTTTTCAGTCAAGTAACCTACAAAGATGAGATCTGACACACAAGTTCATTGAATAAAAATGAAGACACTGCAAATGAACAAGTAAGTCGTGGAGCTATGTATGATCTACTTAAAGATTCTTCATGCACAGTAACCTTTACTGAATCATTTTGGTGCTCCACTGATATCAGTACTAACAGACCAAAGAATAGTTATGCCTCAGATAAAATCGAAAGGAGACTGTGAAAGTGACTGGTCTCTAGCATTTGGAGTTTCCCTCTCCTCCGGCATACAAACACAGAAACTAATTCAATATGTGCTTACTCAGTAAAGCTAGTCAACAACAATTAGTATTCATTAATTACTATAGGAAGCTGCTATTCAAATACTTCACAGCGAGAGTCCTGCCTGTTTTTATAAGCACATTATTACAAGAGATCTCCAGAGTTTCTTCCTCTCTTACAAAGCCTCCTGGGGAGTCCAGATGACCATAGGTACATGTTTGTCTAAACGGTTCTTTTAAAAATCGGCATTGATTGGATTAACCATACTTCATATTTCCATGGAAATTGTAAAGATTTATTCCCAGATTAAGCCTGCTTTGTTCTCTATTGTATTATTAGCTAACAGGCAGAACAATGAATCACTATCCTCTTCACAACAAGGTCTCTCACTCTTTTCCTAAACAGACGTCCTCCACCTTTTTGAGAGGTCACTTTTTAAACACCTCTTATTCTTCTGTCTCTGTCCTTAAAACCACATTCCCAGAAAACATATTTTTTCCACCTTGCCGCAAAAAAAAACCCCCAAACAATCCCTGTCAAGCGAGGATTTACTGCCATCGTAGCCCGTGACAGCCCCCAGGCCCCACGACCCCGAGAGGTCTAATCCCACCGTCTACAGCTCCAGGTCTTCCCCTTAACCGCGAAACAGGAACACAGCACCCACAAACACCACCCACAGCCGCGGCGCAGCTTTCGGGGTACCGGCTTCATCAAACCGTAGTACTACGCGTCCAGGTGACGCGCGACTTCTCCCATGGGAAGATTACGCCGCAAACCGGCAACGCTCCTCACGCTGGCGGAAGAGCTTTCTCTGCCACGAAAGAAGCAGCAGTTCAGGCAGGGAGCTGC